AGATTGAAGGCCACGTGCCTTCAGAGCGTCGCACATCGTGTCGTGTTTCACGGAATCGAATGCTGTCACAACGTCCTGGGAGGCGCAATGAAGAGGGAGCTCCCACGCAGTGGATATGTAGAACACTTGTTGTACCTATCCTGACCGAACTTCTGAACTTCTGGACGCTGCTTGGGCGAAGATGGTGTAGAACGGATGGCCGCATAGATCTCATGTACCATCTCTGCAAGACGTTCGTCTTGCCGATCCAGCGGAAGCCGCCGAAGTTTGAGATGAACTTCTCCTTGGGAAGGCCTATGAGCTCGACGATTTTCCAATAGACTGAATCCCCAGAGGTCCCAAAGGAGGCTCGAGCACGGAAGAGTTTCCAAACGTGCAACATAGCAGTCCACGGCAATGAAATCAATACTTCAGGAGGAACGCCATCGGGGCCCAGTCCAGATCCAGGCCGGAGCATGGCCTTCGCCTGCATGACGTCCCAAAGTTCCATCGCTGCCCTGGAAGAGCCATCGAGGACCTCGTCGCGGTGCACGGCCGAAGACGTCTGTAGTCGATCGAACTGCTTGCTGGTGGTGCTGCTGGCATCGGAAAACTGGCTCCCTCCTCCTCCTCCTCCTCCTCCTCCTCCTCCTCCTCCTCCTCCTCCTCCTCCTCCCCACTACTCCCCCTCCTCCTCCCCCTCCTCCTCCTCCTCCTCCCCCTCCTCCTTCTCCTCCTCCTCCTGCTCCTCCTCCTCCTCCTCCTCCTCCCCCTCCTCCTCCCCCTCCTCCTCCCCCTCCTCCCAGTCTGGCGCGCGTGTTGGAGCCGCTGCTCTCGGTCGGCAATGAGGCGCCCAATCGAGCCCTGCAAGCGCGTGGGCATCGCAGAGCACCGCGGCCGTGACGACAGCGACAGTGTCTTCAACTTCTGGTTGGCTCGTCGCTCGGACGTCCATTCCCTGTGTTTTTTGTAGGTTTCGTGCGTGGTCTTTTTCGCCAAAGGATCAAGGATGCTCCTCGACGGTCCTCGCCGAAAGAAAAATGCACGTGTCCGAGCGATGCCAAGCTGGTTGGCTCGTCGCCTGCGTTTCTTGAGCCGCTCGCGATACGAGGCACGAGCCTGGTGACGAGTGGCCAGCGCTGGCGGCGAGCCCCACGGCGAAGCACTCCTTGCGAGTGTCGGCAAGCGTTCGGCATCAGGAGGCTGCTCTGGAGATCTCTGGCCCGTCACGCGTTGAATGGTCTGGGCGAGATGCCGCTAACGATCCTCCAAATCGTCCCACGAAACATCAAGGATCTGAGGAGACACGCGCGCCTTTTCGACAAATGTCAAAGCGACGTCGTCGGCTGGTCGCCAGCCATGTAAAGATCTCTCCCTGGCTCTATGAACGTAGAGTGGAACAGTGCCAGATAGCTCAGCGACCAAAGGTCTATGATCAAATCTGCCGTCGCATTTGTTTCGTGACACGGTCTCCCGGGGGTCTCGGCCGCTTCCCCAGGGCCAGCTCTGCATCCCGAACCATTTTCTGACGGCCCCAGGGCCGGGAAGCGGCATCCGGAGGCCGCAAACGTAGACCAACTGTCCGTCTCGACGTTCTTCGTCGCTTCTGAGGGGAGAAAACGATCTGGGCCAGGTGGGCTCCAAACAATTCGTGAAGATACCGAATCCCCCTTCACTGACTCAGAGCGCATGCAAAACCACTCAGAACCGAGGCTCGACCAGATATGGCCCAGCTGTGCATCCACTTCTAACCGTCCTAGCCCCGTAATTCGCCCCCCCCCCCCCCCCCGCGGTCATCTCAACTGGATCTGACACATTGGCTGGCGCCCGTCAGCGTTGACCCCTGAGGAGGAGGAGGAGGAGGAGGAGGAGGAGGAGCCTTGTATTATGGAACACCCAGCGGAACCGACTTGGGACCCGCAAGCCCCATCATCATGGCAGCTGCCAGAACTGAGATTCATCTCACAACTCCCTCGTGTGCGTAAAGTGACATTGGCCCAATGTAACTTCGGATGCCTCTACCAAAAGCCTACGACCTTCATGTGCGTTCAGGCTCCTACGTTGGGGCAGATAATCGCGCAAATGCCAGGCCGGGGAAGATGCATGCACAGAGGGGGACACGTAGCCGCGTTGGGGGTTGATGGAGAGGGTAACTTCCGAACCACGGCCCTTAAGACCTACCCCCCCGGCTTGTGTAAAGTCTTGGCCTCTGCCCTCTGGAAGGATATCGGTGAGCTGACCCCCCCAGGAAGGTGCACACACGAGGTGCCACCTGAAGCGGGGAAGTTTTACACTCCGCTCGATCATTATTATGATTTCCAGAGGTGCCGTGACTGTGCGAGGCCTACAACGAGGAGCTCCGCTACCAGAGGCGGGGCCTAGTACCTTCTTCCTTGCATGATAATTTAACACGCTTCGGTCATCGACCCTCATGCTAGAACGCTAGAGCGCTAGGAGGAGGAGGAGGAGGAGGAGGAGGAGGAGGAGGAGGAGGAAGAGGAGGAGGAGGAGGAGGAGGAGGAGAGGTCATCTCCGCAGGATCTGACACATTGGCTGGCGCCCGTCAGCGCTGACCCCTGCCGCGCTCGCCCTCGACCCTCCTCCTCCCTCCCCCCTGCAGGCGGCGGCCGCGGGGGCACAGGCGGTCCTCGGGCGACCTCGGCACGGGAGGCCCCAGAAACGCGGGAGGGACTCGGCAAGACGGCGGCTGGAGGAGGACCACTCCCAGACATGATCGCGTCCTAAAAAAGATCAGGACCGGAAGTTCTTGGCCAAATTCGACCTCGGGGGGGCACTCGCCGGGCCTCGGGACCGTCAGAGAACGACTCAGGATGCAAAGCCGGTCCCGTATTGACTTTCAGGGACCCCAGGGGAAATTGTCGGACTTTTTGCGTCGGCGGCTAGGCAGCGGGACTGCGCTGACGAGTTAAGCAAAACGGGGCGCGTTAGGCGAATTCCGCCACCATGCAGAGGGGGGGTCGGCCTTACGCAGTCCACGATGGGGGGCCACGATCGACCGTCGATTTCGGGGCCCACGGGCCCCCTCACTGGGCGCCAGAACCCTTTCAGTCAAGCCATTCAAGGGAACGCCCAAACCGAAGTCGGAATGCGGGGTCGAATCGAATCGACATCGAAGCCGACCCGAATCGACACACCGCCAAGGTGGTTCCTGGGAAGGGGGAAGCAGAGAGAGAGGCAGACGCATCCATGGGCGACGCGGCCGCGCCGGGGCGAGCGTGGAGTCGCAGCGCGGGCCCGCGGATCGTGCAGTCGAGAAGCGATCTGTGAGGATCACATGCCCATCGGTCGGAGAAAGTAGGTAGACACATGGCATAGGAAGGCGTTGCAAGTAGATCGTGTCCAGGCCGGCCCCCAAGGAGGACGGACAAGGTGAAGCCACTCGATCATTTAAGTAGGAAGGCGCTTGAAGTGTGTTGGAACATGGGGATCCAAATATACTTACTTTCAACGACCAATGGGTGCAATTCTTCTGACGCCTGGTGAGGGATGCCGCGGCCCGAGATCGGTGGCCCAGCGTGGCCTCTCATCGCCCACGGTGCAAAACCCTGGAAGGCCTGCTGCTGCCATTTCCGTTTTGCCCTCAGCTGCTCTGTCCTCCCTCCTCCTCCTCCTCCTCCTCCTCCTCCTCCTCCTCCTCCTCCTCCTTGCATGAATTATACAGCATTCTATGTTCTGCCGATGCGCCGTCAGGGCGTGGCTCCTGCGTACGTGCCTCAGCTGCGGAGGAGACAGACGCCGTGGGAGCTGGAAGTCTCATCAGCATAAACAACCTGGGCTGGAACCACCGGCATGGGACTGGCGCGAGCCCGAAGGGTGAATGGGGCCCCAGGACACACAAATAAATACACACACATAAAAATATGTCCTATATTTTCCCATATGTTCTGGGTTTTTGTCTTCCCCCCCACTTCCCATATTTTCCCATATTTTCCCATATTTTCCTGGGGATCGACGATTAATTGTGCCTGTGTGTTTTTTCCCCTCCTGAAAGGGGTTGGGACGAAGTCCCCAGGGCTGGAGGCTCTGGGGGAGAACCTGCAAGGGCTGGCGAGAGTAGACGGGCTGGTCCCAGCCTCTTTTTCCAAGCTTCCCTGTGCGCCTGCCCCTCTTGGACTTCCAAAGCCTCCTGGCGCCCTCGAGGCACCTCCAGCGCCTTGGAGACCTCACCCCCTGAGGACCCACGCCCATGGGGCGGGAGGATCGCACCGCATCGCCGACGCATCGGCAACCCTGGGATGGAGAACATCGGGCTGCAGATCGAGGCGCATCGCCGATGCATCGTCGATTTGGGGCGATCCTCCCGCCCGAAGATCTCTTTCCAAAGCCCCGAGAAGTCTCCGGAAGCCCCCCGAGGTGCTCCAGCCACAAACGTCTCAAGACATAAACACCTCATCCTCGACCCTGCAGCGAAAGCTTCATCACAGGGAGTTTTGAACAAAACAGCGAGGCCAATTTTGGGCCTCAGTTGCGCTAAGACGCACAGCAAACGACAGGGGAAGACCCATGGAAACAGCCTGAGTAATTAAAGGAACATCGCTCCCAGTTCAAAGCCAACGCGGACCTTCTCCAGAATGTGTGACTGCAGTTCTCTCGCCCCTCCTCATCGAAAGCCTCCAGTCCCATTCAAGCAGCCATGAGCCGCGCACACTTGCGGCTCCTCCTCGCCCTGCTTCCGCCTCGCGCCCGCGCGGGGGCGCGCCCTGCCAGAGCTCCGCCATCACAGAGAAGCGTGGAGGGCGCCGGGCCTTCCTCCAGGCGCTGCTCCTCCAGAGGCCCGCTACGGGACGACCTCCTGCAAACAACTGCCCGGGGTCAACTGCCGGACCCCCGCGTGGGGTCGAGAGATCGGGGGGGGGGCCCACGGCCCACGGTGCGCACACATCATGACGTCGGACGTCTGGGCACTCGTCGTCCTCGTCCCTCCTCCTGCCGCGGCCCGCCCGGGCCAGCAGGCGTCGCGCGGCCCGGCCCGGCCGGCTCCCGCGCGGGCGCGCCGAGGCGGCGACGTCGCCCCGCCGCCCGTCGCATAAGTGCCGCCGCCAGGGCCACCTGGCGGGAGTGCCCCGCGGGAGGGCGGGTCGATCCCCTGGGAGGAAAGGCCTCCGCCTCCTTCTTCTCGCCCTCGCCCTCGTCGTCGTCTTCTTCTTCCTCCTCCTCCTCCTGCACATCCTCTCTCCTCCTCCTCCTCCTCCTCCTCCTCCTCCTACTCCTCCTCCTCCTCCTCCTCCTCCTCCTCCTCCTCCTCCTCCTCCTTCTCCTCCTCCTCCTCCTCCTCCTCCTCCTCCTCCTCGTCCTCTTCCTCTCCCTCCTGCTCCTCATCCTCGTACTCTTCCTCATCGTTTTCCTCCTCCTCGTACTCCTTCTCCTCCTCGTCCTCCTCCTCCTCCTCCTCCTCGACCCCCTCCTCCTCCTGCTCTCCACCGCGTCCTCCTCCTCCTCATCATGAGGAGGGGGACCCGCGAAGACGGAGGAGGAGGAGGAGGAGGAGGAGGCGAAGGAGGAGGAGGAAGAGAGGAGGAGGAGGAGCCGAAGGAGGAGGAGGAGGAGGAGGAGGAGGAGGAGGAGGAGAATGAGGAGGCGAATGAGGAACATTTGGGAGGAGGGGTTCGCCTAGCTCCCTGCTGGCAGCTGCTCCGCCTCCTCTGCGTCGGCGGGGAGGGAGAAGGGAGGAGGGCGTCCAGGAAGGGGGAGGGGGGAGGAGTAGCCGTCGTTACCGCCGTGGGAGAGGGACGTGGATGGAAAGAGGAGGAAGGGAAATGACGAAGCGTATGAGAAGGGGAGGTATGACGCAACGAGGTGGGGGAGGGTGATGAGGAGGGGAGAGGGGAGGGAGAGGGTGATGGAGGGGGGGAAACATGACATGGAGGAACCGCCTCAATCCGGGCAGTCTGACATGCTAACAGACTCGTCGCACGAATATTCCAAGGTCTCACGGGAGAGCCAAAGTTTGCAAGAGGACGGTCCGCCATCTGTCCAGCTGTCGAATGCTGATGGGACTAACGTGTGCGACGCCAAAGCGAGGGCCACATGTTGAAAAAGGAATGCCACCCCCATACATGAAATGGTCGGCTGGATTACAATGTGTGAATCGGTCTCCGGCAAAACCCCAGGACCGCCTTGCCAACACGCCTGGCCTGCTGGCGCGACCAGCGGGGCCTGTTTGTCCGCAGCCATGCCCCCCATAGCACGTTAAGGCGTGGTAGAATGCAGTGTGCTGTCTGGTAGGGTGTCTGCGAGTCCTCGAAGGGCCGCCTCCGCTCCTGCCCCGTGGCTCCCTGGGCGCCCCGGCGCCCCCCCAAGGCACCCGAGGTGCTTAAGAGGGCCTCCAAGACGGCCCAGGCGGAGCACCAATGCCACCGAGATGGCCCAAGATGCCTCCAGGATGGCCTCAAGATTGCCCAATGGGCCCCCAATGCGGCCCAAAAACTGCTCAGGAGGACTTCCAGGAGGCCCCGAAAAGGCCTGCAGAGGTCAAGATCATTTGTATTCGCCTGGTCTCTGGCAGACTTTCGTGCCCTTGCCGTTTCGGGTTTCCGTAAACCTGACGCGGTTTCAGAGGCCGCGAAGATGACAGGGCCCCAAAACGGCCCAGATAGGCCACGGCAGAAGAGTGCCCGAATTAAGTCAGCACAGCGAGCTCCCAAGAGGCCCCACCAAAGAGGCCCCCAGGAGGCTCCAAGAGGCCCCACCAGGCCCCGAAGAGGCCCCCAGGAGGCTCCAAGAGGGGAGGAGGGAAGAAAAGGAACGGAAAAGCACGACGAAGAAGACGAGCAGAGGCATCCCGACACGACACGGAAGTTCATTGCGTGCCACATGTTGCGTCTCTCTCTCTCTCTCTCGTTCTCTCTCTCTCTCTCTCTCGCTTTCTCATCTTGGATGTTTTTGTTTGTGTGTTATTGTTATGTGTTGATTGTTACTTCTCTCTCTCTCTCATGATCAAGGGCAGGGCCGACAAAGAGGTCCCCTGATCCACTCTCGCCTCTTCCTCCTCCCCCCTGCCCCCTCATGGGGACGAGAACTATCCTATGTGACGAATTCCTCCTCCTCCTCCTTTTCCACCTCCTCCTCCTCCCCCTTGTCCCCGTCCTCTCCTTCTATCCTCCTCATCCTCCTCCGCATTCGCTCCATTACGATATGTGTCATTCTCCTACTCGGCCTTCTGCTTTCTCCTGCTTCTCCTCGTGCTCCAGCGCCCCACCGATACTCCATCTCCTACTCCTAGTCGTCCTCCACGACGAAACTCGCATGTGACGGCCCTCCTGATCCTCTTCTTCCTCCTCTTCTTCCTCCTCCTCCTCGTCTTTTTCTTCTTGTTATTATTCTTCGTTTTCCTCCTCCTCCTCCTCCTCGTCCTCCCCGTTACCCGTCTCATGATCCTCCGTCTTTGTCTTCTTCTCCTTGTCCGTCTCATTCTCCGACACTTGTCGCATGGCACGGCCTTCTCGGCGGTGCCTGAAAAGGGCGCCGCACAGGAGTGTTGCGCTGGCACGGTGGCGGGACTTGCCGCAGGCAGCTGGATAATGAAGGGGGCGGAGGAAGATGGGGGGAGGAGTGGAAGGTGTGGAGTGAGGGCGAGGAGAGGCAGAAGCAACTGGAAGAGGAGGGGGGGTCGACAGAGAGGCAGAGGAGGAGGAGGAGGCGGAGGAGGAGGAGGAGGAGGAGGAGGAGGAGGAGGAGGAGGAGGAGGAGGAGGGGAAACACGCGCGGCAAAACTCGTGCCGAGACGGGCCAGGTCGCGCATGCCCTGGTCAGCTGTCGATCGCGCAGCCCCGAGGGGGGGAAGGCGGGGAGAGGACGACGACAATGAGGACCGGGAGGACCTATCCTACGGAGGGGTGGGAGGAGGAGAAGGAGGGCGACCACGGGAGTGGTCACGCGGGGGGATTCACCAGTCTGCACGTTTCACGAGGCTCGATAATCCTTCTGGAGTTTTAGAGGGGGGAGGGGGGGAGGAAGGGAAGTGCCGAGGGGCTTTCACTCAGGTCATGTTCTTCGAGAGTCGAATGAGGAGTGAGGATAAGGAGGATAATGATGTCGATAACAGTGGGAGCGTCAATAGCACCGAAGGCAATTCAGAGGCTCGAAGCCGAGGGCGATGATGTAGTGCTTGGCGCTGCAGCGGTGGAAAACGTGCACGGTGTGTGTGTGTGTGTGTGTATGATTACGTGCCGCTTGCCGTTGACATCCATGACATCCGTGACATCCCGCTGCGCCTAGTCGTGGGAGGACGGTGGGGAGGCTGAGCCGCGGGAGGACGCGGCCTCCGGAAGGCCACAGGCGCTCTCCTGACAGCCTGCGAGCCTGCGGAGAGGCCCCCACGGGGCCCCGAGGGCTGCAGCTAGGCGGGAGGTGGCCGAGCATGGGCCGGGCACGTCCTGGGCCGGCCAACCACTTCGAAGGGTGAGGGTCTGCCGTGGAGCTCCCGTGGGCCGGTGGCGCCCCGCGGGGCGGTGGCCGCCCTGCCTGCGTGCGCCTCCAGCCCAGCAGGGCCTCCGGGCCATCGCAGCTACGGCGGGGAGCATTGAAGGCAGAGGAGGAGGAGGATGAGGAGGAGGGGGAGGAGGAGGCGGAGGAGTAGGAAAAGAGGAGGGAACGTTGAGGAGGAGGAGGAGGGGGAGGAGAAAGAAAGAGGGATGATAATGAGGAGGAAGAAGGGAGGGAAGAAGGAGGAGGAGGAGGAGGAGGAAGGAGGAGGGAGGCTGAAGGAGGAGGAGGAAGGGGGAGGAAGCGGGAGGAAGGAGGACCCGAGGAGGGGGATGAAGGGAAGGGAGGAGGATGAACACGGATGGAGGAACGAGGAGGAGGAGAGACGGGTTGCGCACGCCGACTGTCCGCGGCAGGCCCTGCCGCAACGGGGCCGCGCAGGTGGATGTGTGCGCGGTGGGCAGGCCAGGGATGAGGCGTCGGGGCACCAGGGCCACCAGGGAGGAGGACGATCGACTTGAAGATCAAGGATCTAAGATGCAGATGTTTTTGTTGGGGAGGGTGCTATATTGATCTACCTGTGCTTTTCCCCACTCTTGGGCCTCCATTTCTCCAGAGACCTCAAGAGACTTCGGGGGGAGGAGGGTGCGCAAGGTGAGCAAGCCACTGTGAGAAGCCTCGGCAGGCTCCTGTCTGCTCATCTATCCCTCCTCTGCCCTGCTCCTCCCCCCCTCACGCCTTCCACTCCGTTTTCCTCCTCATCATCCTCCTTCCTCCTCCTTCCTCCTCCTCCTTCTTCCTCCTCTCTCCTCCCACTCCTCTGCCTTCTCCTTCCTCCTCCCCGTCCTTCTTCCTCCTCTCTCCTCCTCGTCTCTCTCTCTCTCTCTCTCATTATCCCCCTTCTTCATCCCTATTTTTCCTCATTCGCCGTCCGTCTTAAACAAATCGCAGTAGCCACAAAGATGAAGGGCCCGTCGATTTAAAATAGTGCCATCGCGTTAGCGCTACGCACATTCGTATAACAAACTTGCAACAATCACCAATCTATTGAGCCCGGTACGTCTTCACAATCCGGCTCTCGCTTGAGAATTCCTCAATCCCTATCCGAAATTCCAACCTACGCAGCATTTGCGCGGATGAAAGGTGGTTCATTTTTCAAACTGGAGCTCTTGCTTGAGACTTCAGCTGTCATGGCCAGAACCTGGAAATGTGCAAACCTTCATTGCACGGATGGACGGCCATTTCAGAACGGGGCAATCGTTGGGCACTCCCCCTAGGTTTAGATCATGCCTCTGCGTGCTTCTTGTATAGCTTAGGCGGTGGACAAACCTTGCTTTAGTAAACCTTCATGTATTGGAAAAGGCCCAGGACCGAAACTGACGGACCTGGACCCGCAAAAACGACGGCCGCGACGCTCTCTCGCGAACCGAAAACGGCCAATTCGCTAATCGACGTGTCAGGGTAGGAGGTCTGTCAACATCCGAAAGCTCAAGGGATGGAGGGTGGATTCGTTATGAAGCTCAAGGATGCGTGCTTTTTGTTAAAGCTCAAGGGATGGAGGGTGGATCCTTTGTGCAACGGGGTCTCGCCTGCGTGGCATGCCCACCGCGCCCTCGTCGTTCAAG